AGGGTTTCTCTGTGTTGTCCTGGCTCTCCTAGAACTATGCCAGCCTGGCCTGGAGCTCAGCAACCCACCTGCCTCTGCCTCCTCAGTGCTGGAATTAAAACATGTGCCACCACAGCCCAGGGTATTTTATATTAAGGGGGTGGGCTGGTGAGATGGCTCAGTACAGAAGGGCACTTGCTGTCAAGCCTGACTACCCACATTGTGGGGGAGCATGGACTTCTGGGAGTTGTGACTGACCTCTACACATGCAACATACTCATAGACATTAAAAAAAAATGGACAACTAATTATATACCAATCAGAAGTCAGAACACTTACATTTCACACTAGGTGTGACAACATATGCTTTGGACATTTGGAGGTAAGGCAGGTCAGAGCTAGCCTAGGCCACATAGCGAGATCCTAATTCTATCTGAAAGGAAGGGAGGGAGAGAGGGCTAGAAGACTGCTTGGCTGGGCCATGCACACTTGCAATGCCAGCGTACAGCAGGCCGTATCAGAGGGTCTGTAGCAAAAGACAAATCACAACAAAAATCAAGCAAGTTTGAATTCTCTTAACTGTGTGAGCTTAGGCAAATCACTTCTCTCTGGGTTGACATCCTTATCTTATAAACCTATGGAGGATCTTTGTTAATCACGTGAGGTTATATGCAAAATTGTATTCTATGTTCATGTTTGGTCACTTTTTCTGAGGAAAGAGCTGATTTTTCATATGACTTATAAGGGAACCTGTAGTTAAGAAAGTTAAAAACTAGCTGGGTGTGGCTGTGCATGCCTTTAATCCCAGCACTCTGGAGGCAGAGGCGGGTTAATCTTTGCATTCACGGCCAGCCTGATCTAGAGTGGGTTCCAGGACAGTCAGGACAACACAGAGAAACCCTGCTTCGAAAAACAAAAACAACAAAACAAACAAAAGGCTGGAGGGATGGCTTAGTTGTTAAGAGAACTGGTTGCTCTCTTTTGGCCTGCGAGGGCACTGCACGCATCTCACAGGTACACAGGCAGGCAAAACACCCATTCACAGAAAGGTTTCTTTGTTTCTCTGTGTAGCCCTGGCTGTCCTGGAACTCACTCTGTAGACCAGGCTAGCCTCAAATTCAGAATTCTGCCTGCCTCTGCCCTCATGAGTGCTGGGACTAAAGAGGAGTGCCACCACCGCCTAGCTAGGGTTTGGGGCTTTTTGTGTTTTTGTTTTGTTCTTTAGTTAAAAACTAGTTTTCAAGCCCTGTTATTCTACTTCCTCAGTCTTTGTCAAGTGGAAGTAAAATTTAGGCACAATTTTATCTGGAGTCTGGGGACAGTAACAATTCTCTCAGACTTGGCAGATATACTGAGGTGGGCTTGCTTACAGTCAGAAGAGCTGCATCAAAAGCATACCAAGGGCCTAAGATCTGACCTGAAACTGTCATTATAAGGTTTGAAGTCACAAAATCTGGAAGCCAGACTGGCTACCTGCCCCTAAATCCTTAAGGCTAATGTCTGACTCTCATTCTGTGGGAAATCCAGTTACATACCTGAATCAAACTACAGCCCCAGCTGTCTGAAATTCCTCCCATGGGAATTCGGTGCAGTGGGTCTGGGAAATCTGAACAACCTATACAACCCAACTCCCCTTAGAGGAAACATGATGTTTTGAGCCTAATTTAATTTAGAAATGGACAAAGACAGGGAAGGCTGCAACTGGGGAGTGAGAGGGAAACTAAAGGTTTGTACAGGAAATGATGGTAGACTAGACCGGGCCATTCTCAGGGAGTCCAAAGGGCTGTTTACATGCAGTGCCCTGCACCCCAAACAAGTCCACTTAGGGAAACAGCCAGAGCCAAGACTCAAACTACACACAGAAGACAGGCACAGAAAGTGAGGTCCTATACTTCCCCCCAATTCTGCACCAGCTGAGGCTCCGGGATCACTCTCAGAAGCTTTCGAGGGAGGCGCTCGCTCCCCAGGTTAAGACCACGCCCAGGGCAAGCACCAGCCCGGTAGTGAAAGAGATAAGCTTGACCTAGGGCATTTACAAAAAAAAAAAAAGGGGGGGTGTCGTTAAGCCTTTTCAGTTCGAAATATTGCGCTACATTCCCCAGCTAGTCCATCACCGCCGATCGTAACCAACAAATTACGCCTTCATCCACCAGACACATATACACGCGCGGGTACGCGCGCACAAAGATGGCGAAGAATGCACTTCCGGCAAGTGTCCTTACGAATGCATCCGGGCGTCTGCAGCAGGTACCGCCCAAGGCGTTCCGGCCCCTTTGCTGCACAGCCAACAACGGTGATGGCGGGCAGACAGTCTGGTTGGAGCCAGGCAGCTCTTCTCCAGTTTCTTCTTGGCATGTGCCTAACGGTGATGCCACCTACCCAGGCCCGGAGTCTGCGCTTTGTTACCTTGGTAATGGGTGACTGAGTCACCGACGGGTTCTCCAAAGCTGAAAGGGCAAAGGGCGGCTATGCTAGTAGAAGGAGGGGTAGAGCCTGTGCTCTGGGGTCGGGGTCCTCACTTCTTAAGGAAAAAGAAAGAACTGATTTAGGAAGCAGTTGGCCTGTGGTGGATTGCCAGACTGGATTCAGAATTGATTTGGAGCCCTAGGCCATTTTGCATAACGGGGCGACCAAGTAATGTTGGGGTATATTCTTCCCGGGGATGATTCTTCCCAAGATGGGAATGTAATCAAAAGGTGGAGAGTCACCCATACAGACGACTTCGAAGATCTTTGCTTTCCCAGTCACTGCGGCCTCCTCCTCCAGAATGCATTGCTTGCACTACCTGTGCTTCTGGCTTTGCATGGCTTTGTTAGGAACCTTCTGAACTCGGGTTCTTTTTCCGTTACTTAGCGGAAAGGCTTCCAAGAGGGAGTGAGATTTGCTTTCCTACATTGGCAGAGGTGGGCCCTGTCCTTAGCCAGAAGACCCTTCTGACCCGTAGACAAACCATTGTTTTTAACTCAGCTGTATCGACATGGAGATCGGTCACCAGTGAAGACATATCCCAAGGACCCCTATCAGGAAGAGAAATGGCCCCAGGGTTTTGGTCAGCTAACCAAGGTGGGTCAGAGGCCAGAAACTTAGCCTCCCTAAACTGCTAGTTTTCCACATGGGTTCTTATGGACCAGATGTCTATTTTACTGTTGTTTTGTTTTTGGGTTTTGGAAGTCAAACCCAGGACCTTGTCTATGCTAAGCACACTGAACTATTTCTCTGGGTATGATCAGATTTCTTTTTTTAAAAAAGATTTATTGTGTGTACAGTGTTCTGTATGCCTGCACGCCAGAAGAGGGCATCAGGTCTCATTACAGATGGCTGTGAGCCACCATGTGGTTGCTGGAATTGAACTCAGGTCCTCTGGAAGAGCAGTGTTCTTAACCTCTGAGCCAGCTCTCTAGCCCCTATGACCAGATTTCTTAACAATACTCTGTGCCCGGGACAATATCATTAACAAGTGACCACTTAACTTCGCTCCTTGCCAAGGGAAGAATGCTTAAATGTCATAGGACCTGTGAGCCATCCCTTCCTTCTGGACTCCCTTAACCCTCAGGTTTGCCCACAGGAGGGGATGCTGCAGCACTGGGAGCTAGGCCAGGCTCTGAGGCAGCGCTACCATGGCTTTCTGAACACCACTTACCACCGACAAGAGGTAAGACTGGGAACTTGATCGGCAAGAGGAATGGGATTTTTGAATTATTTTCTGACCTTAGAGAATCTAAGAGTGAGGCTAGGCACTCTAGATTTCCTCTTGAAATTTTGGTCCATGAACAAAAATTTAAGAGCTGTCTAGAATACTGCTCTGGAGTCTGAATTGTCTCTGTCTGGGAAGAGACAAAACTGGCCAAGGGTCCAACTCTGGCATAGGCAGGGTCTGTAGCCATTGCTACATATATAGTAAGACCCTGTCTCAGGTTTGGGGGGGGGGGGGCAAATGTGTACCATAATGCCCAACAAGGACTTTTTTTTTTCAGAGTCAAGTTTGATATTTATTTAATCAATAATTTGGGTTATGGATGGGATGGGTAGTAGGGTGAAAGGAGGGTGGGAGGGAGGGAGGGAGGGAGTGAGTGAGAGAGAGAGAGAGAGAGAGAGAGAGAGAGAGAGAGAGATATAGATTGTGAAATGGGGAAAAGGGAGAGATAGAAGCTGCCTCTTCAAGAGAGAGACACAGAAAGGCAGGGCTCTGGTCATGATGGGAGACAAGCCAGGTATTAAAATCTCTCAGGAGGGCTGGAAAGATAGCCTAGAGGTTAAGAGCATTGACTGCTCTTCCAGAAGTCTTGAGTTCAATTCCCAGCAACCACATGGTGGCTCACAACCATCTGTAATGAGATCTAGTGCCTGCAGGTAGAACACTGTATACACAATAAATCAAATCTCTCAGATGTACCAAATGAGTGCTTTGGATGAACAGGAAGGAGGGTTTGAACTAGAGCCATTCCCACAGACTGGTGATAGCTCATAGCTCAGTGTTTGGGGCCTTGGGGAACAGGGAGTATCCAGGTAGGCTGTGTATGCATGGTAAGTTTAAAATGTGCTGAGTAACCATCCAGAACAGGTTTCCCCTGGGGCTCCAGTGAGAAGCCAGAGTGCTTCTGCACACAAAGAGAGATCTGTGTTGCCAATTTACAGGTTTATGTGCGAAGCACTGACTTTGACCGTACTCTCATGAGTGCTGAGGCCAACCTGGCTGGACTCTTCCCTCCCAATGAAGTGCAACGTTTCAACCCTAACATTTCATGGCAGCCCATCCCTGTTCACACTGTGCCCATCACTGAAGACAGGGTAAGACCGGCCAGGAGTGAGAGGACTGGAGTAGAGAAGGGACAACTATGATCGCGGCCTACTGATCCAGGCTTCTCTGCCTATTTCTCTTTAATTTGCAGCTGCTAAAGTTTCCGTTGGGTCCATGTCCCCATTATGAGCAGCTGCAGAATGAGACTCGGCAGACTCCAGAGTATAAGAATATGAGTATTCAGAATGCAGTAAGTGGGGGCTGAGGTGTAAGTCATCAGACTGCGCTTTACTCAGAACAGTATTGATCTCCTGATCCATTTTTCCTAGCAATTTCTGGACATGGTGGCCAATGAGACAGGGCTTATGAACCTGACCCTAGAGACCATCTGGAATGTGTATGACACACTCTTTTGTGAGGTGAGCTGACCAGGGTGCCTGTTGGGCTTACTCTTCTCTCCTCAGCAGGTCCAGATCTCTAGGGCAATAATTGAGCACATTGCTTGGCTACTGCCATCCCCACTGGGAAGGCGCAGCAAGCCAGTGCTTATGTAACCTGGGAACTTCCCTCCTGGGTAAAAAGAACCTCAGAGTGGGAAATGGTTTACTAGTTGTCAGCACTCTGTATCCTTCTCCATCTCGCTCAGTACCGTGAGATTTCTCTCTGCTGAGGCTGCTCTTCATGCTTGAGCTCCCTTTCCCATGCCCTGCTGTCTGCCATGTTTGCAATAGCCCCTCTTCCTCACCTCTGCTCTCCTCTTCCTCCCTCACACACACAGGCACCTTCCCCACCTGGGGAAGAAAGCCACCCCTGGAGAGGCTCTGGCCTAGGCCTAGGGAGCTAACCTGCCCGCTGCGATACACAGCAAACACATGGGCTGCTCCTGCCGCCCTGGGCCTCACCCCAAACCGTGCAACGTCTGAGCCAGCTAAAGGACTTCAGCTTCCTCTTCCTCTTCGGGATCCACGAGCAAGTACAGAAGGCCCGACTTCAGGGTGGTGAGTGACACAAACAGCATGTCACTACCCTCCCCAAAACTCCAGCATTAAAAACCTACTGTGGGAGCTTCTCACACACTATTCTGCCTAAGACAATTCTCTGCTCTTTTAAAAACAAATCTCCCCTCTGCCATCCCTGCTGGTCACCCAAATCTCCTGGTTCTCTACTATTCCGCCTGAGTCACAGTCTCACTATGTAGCTCCAGCCAGGCCAGCCCCAAACCACAGAGATCCACCTGTCTCTGCCTTCTGATTCCTGGGATTAAAGGTGTGCCACCACATCTGGCCTGCCATGCCAGAGACCCTTTCTCTTTCCTAACCACATGCCTCCCTGCAGAGACCTGCTAAGGCCCTTGGAGAAAAGGCCGAGGGCAATGCATGTGTCAGTTGCTTCATTTAAGCATTCAAGGGTATGCGTTCTCAAACCTTTGACATTGCAGTCATTTTCAGAACCTGCATACAGCAGTTGCCCTGGCATGCCCACCATCTCAGGTGCTGGGAAGCATTCATACTGTTAAAGCAGTCATGATCAGGGCCTCCTAGCTCAAGTTTTTGCACCTGAGTCTTAAGTACTACTAACCTGCTTTATCTGTGTCCCTTGTAGACTTGACAGTTCTTAGCAGTGGGCGGTGCAGAGTTGCCTGGGTTGGTGACTAGACTAAGACTAGCGGGTGGTCAGAAAAGCGGATCAGCAACAGTTCAGGACACCGACACTTGGGATTTCTCTTCTTCAGGAGTTCTGCTGGCTCAGATACTGAAGAACCTTACACTCATGGCGACCACCTCTCAATTCCCTAAGCTTCTGGTTTACTCTGCGGTAAGCTCCAAATCCCTAACACTTTGGTGTCCAACCAGGAATTGGGTATTTTCCCGATTCCATTCCTGGGAGGCAGAGGAGCAAACAACCCTTCTCCCTTACAGCATGATACTACCCTTGTTGCTTTGCAAATGGCACTGAATGTCTACAATGGGAGACAAGCTCCCTACGCTTCCTGCCACATGTTTGAACTGTATCAGGAAGATGATGGGTAAGTGGAACTACCAGGGTGTTCCCTGAAGGCAGCCCAGAGACTCCATCCTGGGCATGGTGAGCATCCCCCATCTTGCCTCCTGTTAACTCTCAGGAATTTCTCAGTTGAGATGTACTTTCGGAATGACAGTAAGAAGGCACCCTGGCCTCTGATCCTGCCTGGCTGCCCTCACCGCTGCCCACTGCAGGACTTCCTTCGCCTCACAGAGCCTGTCATACCCAAGGACTGGCAGAAGGAGTGCCAGCTCATAAGTGACACTGCAGACACAGGTGAGCTGCCACCTGCTTCTGTGCTAATGTCCTGGGCCAGCCGTCTTCCGCCCTTGCCTGGACAGCCTCTTCAACCCTAGTACTGTATTTATATACTCTCCCCGTTCCTCACCCTCCTTGTCCTGCTACATCTACCAGCTTACCTGCTTGTATAAGCTAGTGGTCAAGTCCAGCCTCCACTTAGACTGTGTTGGTCTCTTCTCCCCTTCATCGGGAATATGCTCCCCTCTCTACTGGATCACTCCCATTGCAAAGCGTAACAGACTTCTAAGACTCACTTTCTCTCTGTGATCCCTCTGGGTAAAAATCTTCAAAGAGTTACCTACATTCTGGCTTTACTTCCTCAGACTGACTTGAAACAGTGGTGTCACCTTTTACTGTGATGACCGATTTAGTCAGCTTCTCTCCTTCCTTAAACGTTTTCTGAGTGCTGCAGACAAGGCTTAGTGGCAGAAGCCATGGCTACTATTTTTGAAACCCTGGATTCATTCCCTACCCAGCACTGCAAAACAGTAACATTTCCATGACTTCTGGTCTTCACTTTTAACTTCCTTCATGGTTTTCTCTTCACTGAACAATGAATGGCCTGAGGCTTGTCCCTAGCTCTTTTCCTATCTAAAACCTAGCTCTTTTCCTATCCTAAAACCACATGGCTCCCCTACCTCATCACCATGGTAAGTTAAGTTCCACTTGTGTGGTATGACTTACAGATTTATGGCTGCTGCTGACTTGAGGCCTTTTTTTTTTTTTTTTTTTTTTTTGGTTTTTCGAGATAGGGTTTCTCTGTGGTTTTGGAGCCAGTCCTGGAACTAGCTCTTGTAGACCAGGCTGGTCTTGAACTCACAGACATCCGCCTGCCTCTACCTCCCGAGTGCTGGGATTAAAGGCGTGCGCCACCACCGCCCGGCTCTCCAGTGATATCTTCTTGCTGAATCCAGAACCCCAATCCTACTTCAATATCAGGCCCTTTTGTACTTGCTTGTGTGCCTATGCCCCCACCCTGTGGCACTCTACTCTCAGATCTGTTTTACTTGTTTGTTTTCCGAGACAGGGTTTCTCTGTAGCTTTGGAGCCTCTCCTGGAACTAACTCTTGTAGACCAGGCTGGCCTCGAACTCACAGAGCTCTGCCTGCCTTTGCCTCCCAAGTGCTGGGATTAAAGGTGTGTGCCACTACCGCCTGGCCTGTTTTACTTCTTGACTCCTGGTCTCTGCTCCTGTTTCCTCAGTGATTTCTTTTCTGAGTAACTTACCTTGCTCATATAACATCACTAATGTGTCATTACCATCAAATGCTTGTTTACTAGAATGTGAACGCCATAAGAGCAGACTGTCTTGACCACCTTTGTAGATGCATGTTTTGTCCAGACAGGACCTGGCATGGGGTAGTGCTCTGTTTGTATCTGTCTGATGAATACTAATGTTACCTTTCTTTTTCCCTCCCCTGCCCAGAGGTGATTGTGGCCTTGGCTGTCTGTGGCTCCATCCTCTTCCTTCTAATAGTGTTGCTCCTCACTGTCCTCTTCCGGATGCAGGCTCAGCCTCCTGGCTACCACCATGTTGCAGACAGGGAAGACCATGCTTGACAACCACTCAGTCCCCTTCCTCTGCTTCCTAGGGGAGGTGAGCTGATCCTCCCTGATTACCTAAGCCCAGATGAATGAGTGAGGCTCTCCTGGGCTGTGAACCTGTGACTCACCATCTACACACCTGGTGTTTACCATGCGCTGTGCTGGACACTGGCTCTCTCCAGATGGGATCTGTCTCTCCTAAACTCCCTAAGGACCTGAGATACAGACTAGGATTCAGTTTCCACTCAGGACCTGGGATACAAAAAACAAAACTGAAGCCGGTGCTTGACCTTCCTTGCTCTTTGTCTTCTAGCCCAACCTTTGGAAAATGGCATAGAGGACATTGTCCCTTGGTACTTTTTTTTAGAGGCAAAAACTGCAAATCACTGGGAGTGTAAATTGTGGCTGTCAAAGAACTGGGTCATCCAACAGCGGAGTTTCCCTGTGGCTGAGGCTACTGTTAGTGTCAACCCTTGGCTTGAGCAGGGTCTCGGGCAGGTCTGAAAGATTATGTGTACTGTACCTGGATGAGTGGGAAGACACAGGCAGGAGAGAGACACATCATGAAGTGAGTCTCCCGCATCTGGGCTGGGCTCTTCAGACCTGAACTGGACTTGTTTAGGGCTGCAGGGACTCGGAAGAAATGAAGGTCTGACTGAGTGCTGGCTCTGTGCCTTTCTTGTCTCCCTCACTCTGACACCCAAGCAGCACTCTTACAGGTTGTGCTAGGTCTGCTCAGAAGCCCAGCTGCTTTGGGTTTTTTAGTTGGTGTACAAAGGAAATGCTTTTATTGGCCATGTAAAGACTGAACATAAATTTTAAGAAATTCCCTGGTTATTCTGCTACCACACATCAGGAAAAAGAAAAGTACCTTGGCTTCTAGGATAAACTTAGCTCCAGTCTAAAGACAGCAGGGACCCTTAGCGCAGGACCTCTGCTCCTTTTTCTGGAGCAAAATCTAGAGCAATAACATGGCAATATCTTAGTCCCACAGTATCCCACGTCACAAGTGCCCCTACTCCAACCCTGGGTACGTCTGGTCCCTTAACAAACAGTTGCCTCTTCTCACAGAACTTCTTCCCACGTGTGGGGTCCAGGTGTTGCTGTCTCATGCCCTCTTCATTGTCTTTTGTGATGTTCATGTGCCCTGGCTTCCTCTTGGTTCCAAATGAGAATATGATAGCCTAGAAGAAAAAAGAAGTCTGACTGACACCTTCTGTTACTGGTCTCAGAGCTTGGGGCTGTCACGGGGAGCTAGCAGACTGAATAATATCCTCACACTGTCATGACTAACATAAAGCCAGATGAGTGATCTGGGCCAGAGACAACTGTCTCCCAGATTTCTTTATCGCCTATGCCCTGGGATGAATAGGGCAGGGCTAGAGTGAATTTAGCCTCTTTTGAAACCTAGGGATAGGGTCAGACTTAGTCTCAGATACAGTTGCTTTTACTCACCCATGGCAGTGGCCAGTGTGTCCCCCATAGGATTGAACTCATTGAGCTGCAAAGGTAAGAATTTCAGTGTGAAAGTGGGGTGAAGGCAGTACAGAGGCAACAGGGTACATGGGGATACATTCTGATCAGAAAGATAGCTCAACTCCCTGCTTCCTCCCATCACTGTTTGAAGGTTCAGTCTCACCGAAGTGATACCAGAATATCCTGGATCATAGAGCTGGCACATCATCTTCCCCGAGTCTCCATCAAACACATCTATTGTCCTTAGTTCATAAGGAACACAACTTTTGAAATTAGGGTCTGGGTATCGGCCCACAACGATGAGGTTGTGCCTCGGATGCCAGGATGCCTAGGAAATGAGAGAGGTTGGTCAGAACATAAAGAGACATCAGTATTCTTGAAGCCAGGGGAGATGGCCCAGTTGGTAATAGGCTTGCCACACAGGTGGACCCAGGCAGAAATCTTGTCATGATGCACCTGTAATCATACCTGGGGAGGTGGAGACAGGACACCTGGGACTTGCTAGCCATCTAGTCCAGCCAAATCAGTGAGAGACCCCATCTCAAAAATAAGTGGGGAACAGCTGAAGAAGATACCTGATGTCAACCTCTGGCCTCAACATACAAAATATTCTTTAAGGGCTGGATATTTAGTTCTGTGGCAGAGTACTTATTACATAGCATACACAAGACTGTGTGTTTGGTCCCAGCCTCACACATACACACTCTCTCTCTCTCTGCATATTTTTCCCAATTTTTTAACTACTAATAAGGCCAATAAGAACCCAATACCTCATATAACACAAACATGAGGGCCATCTGGATGATTCAATAGATAAATGCATCTGACCCCAACCAAGCGTGATAACCTGAGTTTGATCCCTGGGGCCTATGTGGCGGGAGGGGAAAAGCAAATCTGACCACTTTGCCTACTGTGGCATGAGTATACAGGCATGAAATGAATGAAAGTGGGCTTAATTTTCTAAAGATCTCTCTGTGTAGCCCTGGCTGTCCTGGAACTTCCTCTGTAGATCAGGCTAGCCTTGAACTCACGGAGATCTACTTGTCTCTGTCTGGAATAAAGGTGTGGGCCTTCACTGCCCAGCTTCTATTTTACTTATTTTTTATTTTTTTAGATTTATTATGTATACACTGTTCTACCTGCATGAATGCCTACACACCAGAAGAGGGCTCAAGATCTCATTATAGATAGTTGTAAGCCAACATGTGGTTGCTGGCAATTGAACTCAGGACCTCTGGAAGAGCAGCCAGCACTCTTAACTTCTGAGCCATCTCTCCAGCCCATATTTTTTTTTTTTTTTTGAATAGTGTCTTACTCTGAGTACTCTTGGTTGTCTTGGAACTTGCTCTGTAGATCAGGATGGCCTTAAACTACTGGGATTAAACACATGCCCCAGCTGGGTGGGTGGTGGTGGTAGTGGCAGCAGTGCACACCTTTAATCCCAGCACTTGGGAGGCAGAAGCAGGTGGATCTCTGTGAGTTCGAGGCCAGCCTGTTCTACAGAACGAGTTCCAGGACCCTGTGTGGAAAAACAAAAACAGAAGAAGGGGGAAAATGTGCGCACCATCTGATTAAGATTTATTTTATGTGTATGAGTGCTTTGGTTGCATGTATATAAGTGTACTGCATGTGCAGCTGGTACCTGCAGAGGCCAAAAGAGGGCACTGGATCATCTGGAACTGGAGTTACAGACAGTTGTGTGTTGCTATGTAGGTGCTCGGAATTGAACCCAGGTCCTCTGCAAGAGCAGCACTGAGCCATCTCTCCCACTCCTCTCTTGCATTTTCTTAAGGTCATACCAACTTGGGCATTTTTGTTTTGTTATTGTTAGTTTGTTTGTCTGTTTTGCAATTCTGGGGACTGAACCCAGGACCTTGTGCATACTAGGCAAGGGCTTTACCACTAAACACCTCTGGCTCTTAACAAATGTTAAGACTAACATAGGTTAAAAAAAAAAGACTAACATAGTTAAACCTAAGAGATAAGCCTCTAGGAAATAACACCAAATAGGATTAGGTTCTTAAGTGACTCTACAACTGATCCTTCTCTACCCACAGATAACAAAGACTTAGATGTGCAGTCCGAGTAGAAAGGGGGAAGAAAGAAAACATGCATTCCTTGATTCACATTATTCAAAACAGATCTGTCAGTTATTGGTGTGACTTATTTTCAAAACAGTTCTTAATTATTTTGTACCGTATAACCCCAGCAGTCCTCAAATCTGCAATCCTTCCTCAACCTAAAGTGCTAGGATTATAGGTGTGTGCTCCATGCATGGCTTCAAGGCAGTTTTGAAGGAAGAAAGACAAAAACAAAAGAAGAGGGAGAGACAATTGGGCTGGAGAGACAACTCAATGACTAAGAGCACTGGCTGCTCTTTCAGGACGGGTTTCCTAGCACATAAAACATCAGCTCACAACCATCTGTAACTCCAGTTCCAGGGGACCTCATGCCATCTTCTGACCTCTAAGGACACAAGGTGTGCACATGGTACACAGATATACATGCAGGTAAAATACTCATACACAACAAATAAATAAACAGTAATTAAGAATAGAATTAGTACATGCTTAGAAGTAGTTGCAAAAACTTGACAGGTGGATGTTGGCATCAGTGGACGTGATGGGATGAGGACACAGCCTATTGAGAGCAATAACTGACCTTGAACTCCTGACGCTCCTGCTTCTACCTTCAGGTACTAGGATTACCAATGAGTACCACTACACCTGTTCTCATGTGCCCACCCCCTTCCCTAAGGTACTGTTCATGCTATATGGAAGTTCTCTACCTTTCAGCAACATCCCCAGAAAAATCTTTGTGTGTGTGTGTGTGTGTGTGTCAGGATATCAATGTAGTCATGGCTAGTTTTGAACCAAACCATAGATCCACCTGGCTCTGCCTCCCAATTGCTAAGATTAAAGGCATGAGCCACAGCACCTGGTTTCAGAAATTTTTTGTTTTTGTTTGTTGTTTCTCTGTGTAGCTGTCCTGGAACACTCTCTGTAGACCAGGCTGGCCTTGAACTAATAGAGATCACCTGCATCTACCTCCTGAGTAGAATGATCTGAAGTATGTGGGATACTAAGTTGTCTCTTAAGTACTTACCAAGTGCTAGGCATGGTGCCCAATGTTTTATGTACCCTGACTCATCCTCACAAAACCCTATTCTCTCTTACAGATGAAACAGAGGTCTAAATCAGGAAACTAAGAGTCTTATTTCTACTATTAGGGACCACTTATACCTGCAAGACAATCCAAGGTTTGGCTAACTTATGGGTCAGCTGCACACATAGGTAAATCAAACAGAAGGCAGAACAAAGGAGGTCAAGGTCATAGAAAATGTCCATAGTAAGATCAACATCGGGCTGAAAAGCTTAGGAAATTAGCTTATCAAATACACTAAGAAAACTAAGGTGATTGGTGTGGATGGTGGTGCCTGCCTTTAATACACAGCACTTGGGAGACAGAAACAGGTGATCTCTACTAGGTCAGACTAGCCTGGTCTATGGAGCAAATTCCAGTCCAGCCTGGGCTACTATAAGACCCTACCTAAACTCTGAATGGAATTACAGAAATGGGATAAAAGGAGCAGACAGAGCCAAAGGATTAAGGGAAAGACAACATCTGAGATTGTAGGCTGCATATGTGACCCTTTCCCCAGCTTGGCAAAATCTGGCCCATTCCCATAATCACAGACCTTCCTTTTGTCACTCACCTTGATGGGTGTAAGGTGCTGAAAATGACGATGCGGGTGGGAGATTAGGCTCAGGGGGCTGTCCCACTGGGAGGCAGAGTAAACCCGAATCTCACTGTTCTGGTCAGTAGTCAGGAGCCGGGCTCCATCCAGGCTGAAACAGGCTGACAGAATGAAAAGCAGGAAACTGAAGGAACCTTACCGTAAGCCTGGTGCCCTGCCTGACCTTCTAGATCAATCTGAAACTGAAGGAACCTTACCGTAAGCCTGGTGCCCTGCCTGACCTTCTAGATCAATCTGAAACTGAAGGAACCTTACCGTAAGCCCTGGTACCCTGCCTGACCTTCTAGATAAGGGTAGGAGGGGTCAATCTGAAACTGAAGGAACCTTGCCGTAAGCCCTGGTGCCCTGCCTGACCTTCTAGATAAGGGTAGGAGGGGTCAATCTGGACTATGAACTACAATAGTGTAGAAACTCCACACCATCAAAGGTGCGGCCCAAGCCAGAAAGGGTCTTAAACGTCAGCTTAGTAAGGATGGAGTAAAGGGTTGAGCTAGGGACCAGTGATGAGAAGGACAGGGCCTATTAGAGAGATGAAGTTTGGGATGTCATACCTGCATTGACGGGATGCCTGTGAGGCAGTGAGTAGAGGAAGCTGGTTTTCCCTTTAATTTGGCGCAGGTCCCAGATTTTCACTGTTTGATCTATGGAGGCTGTGGCAAGAAGCCAATCACAGCAGGGATTCAGGGCCACGTGGGCTACTTTCTTTTTGTGCATTCTGAGATTCCAAAGCTGCAGAGAAAAATTTCGTTCAGGTGTAGACACAGAACCAAAGGGGGATTAGGGGGTGGGAGCGTGCCACATAGTACCCACCTCCTTGCCATCTGTGTTCAGCAGGATCACGTGTCCCATATTGTCTCCTGTGACCACCACTCGGCTCTTGGCAGAAACATCAAGGCTGCAAAACCAGACCCTAGAGGGAGAGAGTGCTCTGAGACAGACTGAGGTCCAGTATCTAACAGGCATTCAATGAGTATTTGTTGAATCAATGAGTAATTGTCTGGCTATAAATTTCTGGTGAAGGACACTCAGCCTTGTCTACTATGCAGAAGATAGGAGTGAGTGTGACAGAACTCGGAAATGTGTCCAATTATTGCTGGGCCCAGAATTCTCTGCTAGTCCCCGAAGCAGCCAAATCTAGAGCTATAAAGCAAATCCAAAGGCTGTTTGCTCCCCACAGCCCAGGTTCTGAAGAGGCCTTATTGATCGTTCTCATGCTCATTACTCTTCACTCTTTGGGCCAAAGGAGATGACAAACAGAACAGGAACTGTCCAGCTCTGCTCCTCACAGGGGGCTACAAGAGAACACCTGCCTCTTCCCAAGCATTTAGGAAAAATCAAACACAACCAGAAACCTTTTCCTCTTGAAAGCATAAAGAGACTAGGAAGAGGGCTACTTCAAGTAGAAAAACACAAGATCTCCTGAGTAAACTGGCAGCATGGGGACCTTGGGAGAGGGTTGAAGGGGAGGGGAGAGGTAGGGAGGGGAGCAGATAAAAATGTAGAGCTCAATAACAATTAATGATAATAATAATTTAAAAAAGCTACTTCATGGGTCCTGATTCACAGCCAGAACTGGAGTCTAGCCAGTCCCTTGTCCTGACGGTGTGCTTCTCAGTCTCGTGGGGCAGCCCAGAGCAACACTGAGCTGGTTAAACTCACTGCACACCCTCACTCTTCATCCCTTACAGAACTGCGCCTCCGGCGAGATTTCTCCAGGGACTTGTTCTTAGAGAGTTCTTCTACCCATTAACATTTCCACCAAGAAAACATACAGCCATACCCCAAAAAATAGAGGGTAATAAAACTGCATTTCTTTCTTTCCTTTCTTTCTAAGACAGGCCCTCACTATGTAGTTCTGGCTGGCCTGACACTCACTCTGTAGACCAGGCTGACCTTGAACTCATAGTAGTCCACCCAGCCTTTGCCTCCCAAGTGCTGGCATTAAAGGCATGTGCTACCATACATGACTAAACTTCAGTTTTAATTCCTGCTCTACTCTGTAAATGCTTTCTAAGCAAATGCCCTGTTGACTTATCCAGTGAAAGTATAGGCCCAGTTCAATATGGACATGAGTTACAGAAGTGATTACACCGTTTCCTCAAGGACAAGTGCCAAGAATCCAGAACTCTTTCTTAGGGCAAGGACCCACCTGGGCCAAAGTCAGGGCAGCCATCTAAGGAAGAAAAGGAGTGGTACAAAGTGGCTAACACCCCATCTTCCCTGTGTCCGGGCTGGGTACGTTCTCTGCAGAACTGCATCTTGAGCATGGAAGTCATTTCCCTTACTAGTTAAACTACTCACTTGCAACAGTTTGACCTGGTATAAACTTGCAGAGTGTTGCCTGTAAAATCCTGCAGCCTGGTTGTTCCCTCCATTGAGGAAGCAAAAAATTGGTTCGAATTGAGATGGTTAAACTTCAGCCCAGTGATGCTTCCTCCAGCTCCCATCTAATATGAGGAAGGAAAAAGCCAGTGAGTGATGATGAGGCAAGCAAGGAGCCAGGCCTGGGCACACAAACAGCACTAAGGCAGAAACACAGGTCAGCGCAGATATCTGATGTTAGAATATTCTTTATTTTTTTAAGGCTTTATTTTCACTTTTATATTTTCAAATAAGAGGCAGTAAACATAACTGGTTTTGGTACACAGTTCTGTGAATTTCAACACTGACAATGAATAGCCTACCCAACCCCAGAATTAAGATGCTGAAACATTCTATTAATCCCACAAAAACTCCCTCGTACTCTCCTATTCTATCACACTTACCCACTTTAATTTAACCCCTGGAAATCAGCTCAGAAAAATGGTGGGGTTTGGAGAGCGGGAACCCGCCCCCCCACCCCATGTTCTTCCAGACATTGCAGGCAGTGGTGACACACTGTGAAGAGCCTAGAGACAGCAAGTGTTAGAGCCCTTGCCTAGGAAGCACAAGGCCATGGGTTTGATCCCCCAAAGGGCTTACCTTATTAAATACTCCCTATAGAGGCTAGAGAGATGGCTTAGTGGTCAAGAGCATCTACTGCTCTTCCAGGACTAGAGTTCAGTTCCTAGCACTCACATAGGACGGCTCCAGCGGATCCAATGCCCTCTTCTGGCCGCTGCAGGTACTCCCATAGATGTGTCATATACATACAGACACACAAATATATGTAAATAAATACATAAAGATAAAATATTAAAAAAACAGACATTCCCAGGCAGAGATAGGCAGTTCCCAGGCAGAGATAGTTCATGGTCTACCTGGTCTACATAGTGAGTTCCAGGACAGCCAGAGCTAATAGACTGTCTCAAATAAATAAAATAAAATAAGACACACAAATAAGAGGTGAAGCTGGGTGGTGGCAGCGCACACCTTTAAGGAGACAAAGGCAGGTGGATTTCTGTGAATTTGAGGCCAGCCTGGTCTTACAGAGCAAGTTCCAGAACAGCCAAGGCCGTCTCAAAGAAACTGTCTCAAAAAACCATAATAATAATAACAACACTAATAATAAATAAATAAATAACAAAAAAAGAGCTGATTTTATTTATACCAAGCACTGTTTTAAGAACTTGGCATCAAGCCAGGTGTTGGTGGCGCAGGTCTTTAATTCCAGCACTTGGGAGGTAGAGGCAGGCAGATCTCTGTGAGTTCAAGACCAGCCTGGTCTACAAGAGCTAGTTCTAGGACAGGCTCCAAAGCTACAAAGAAACCCTGTCTCAAAAAACCACAGACACACACGCACACACAAAGAACTTGGCATCATCAGAAGATCCTTCTCTACTTCCTTCTTATACTGCTGCAATTCAGACTTTGAACAAGGTCGCCAATATAACAAACACTTAACTGACTTCTGATTTAACATACTGACATGTTCTCTCTATTTTTTTTTTTTTTAAAAAAAAACAGGGTCTCTTAATGTAGACCTGGCTGTCCTCAAACTCAGAGATCAGCCTACCTTTGCTGCAATTAGACTTACAGGCACGCACCACCACTCCCAGCTGTAAGAACATTCTAGCCCAGTGTCCGTTGTCTGCTAGTAAGAGAATCGACTGTTCCCACTAGTTGACCAGGTTTTACTATTCCAAGACATCACCATTGCCCCATTCCTCTCTCCTGCCTGTGGAATGACCTCTTTACCCTATTTGGGCCCCAACTCTGTTGCTAAGCTACCATTCTGATACTACCTGTATCATCCATCTCAACTTAATGGGCTCCAGAAATTGACCTGAGGCCATTGTGGCCTCCCTGCTATGTAAATGTCTCTCATTTGCCCCTACCTAATGATTTTTGGGTTCAACTCTTCAGAAAGGTAAGGAAAGAAAAGGAGGAGAAAAAAGAATGCCAATCTTGAAAGACCCACTCACTAAAAAGAGTAAATAATTTTTAAAATTTATTTTATTTATTATGTATACAACATTCTATCTGCATACATGCCCACATGCCAGAAGAGGGTGCCAGATCTCATTATGGATGGTTGTGCGCCACCATGTGGTTGTTGGGAATTGAACTCAGGACCTCTGGAAGAACTGCTAGTGCTCTTAACTGCTGAGCCATCTCTCCAGCCCAATAATTTATTTTTTTTAATATTTATTTATTTATTATGTATACAATATTCTGTCTGTGTGTATGTCTGCAGGCCAGAAGAGGGCACCAGACCTCATTCCAGATGGTTGTGAGCCACCATGTGGTTGCCGGAAGTTG